AGTAGCATACCGTATGGTTTTAGTCGGTTCAATTCCGAAACACCGGCCAGTCGCAAAGCCCTGTGGGATTACGTCCTGAGGGGGTTTCCACACGTAAAGAAAAGGCTGTATATGCAGTCTATACACTAGCTTATTTTAGTTCTATTATTTTCCTAACAATAGTTATTTAATCAACAAATTTAATGTCAGTCCCGGTTACTTTAATATGTAATTATGCAAAACGACCCCGGTTAATGACAATAAGATTGTCCACTATTAAGTTGAATAAAATTATAGAGATAATGAGGGGCTAGTGGCTAAGTGGTTATCGAGTACGTTAACACATTGCAAGTGTAAGTAATCCCAGCCAGGTCAGTCTATAGATGGGTGGCCGTTCTTTTTCTTTATGTTAGAGGGGGCAGACGAGCAGACGGGTCACCTGATGGAAAGTGACCATCGCCGCCCATGAACGTCTGCAACTAAGGAGTCACAAACGCGTTGCCGGCCTTTTAGTAAGGAGTACGCTTTTCTTGAAGGTTTGAAGGTCGTATCGGTCCGGAAATACCGCAGACGATAACCCGTTCCACAGATTGGTTGTGTGGGGCAAAAAGTGTCTCGAAAAGCGCACAGTAAAAGATACCTAAAAAGAGCCCTAAAAAGATCGCAAACAGCCTATCTAAATGGAATGACGGTCCGAGGGGGTTTAGTAGGGGCCGCAAAAATTTAACAGTCTACAGGCGGCAAATATGTAAATCCGCCACAGGTGGGTGTTAAATATGCAGATTAATAACACATATTACTATACAACAAACATTAATTTTCTTAAATAACCGTTCTTCTATTTACATTTTTTTCTTAGAACTCTAATAATATCTACTTGGCATGGATATTAATCAAACATTTTCCTCAACAAATAAATACGTAACGAATCATAATATAGACGATATATGTAATTATAGAATAGCACTATTGGAGTTTAACAGTAATTTAAAATACATCCTCAATAATTATCTTAGAGAAGAGAAGGAAAATTTGACACAAACCCTATACCAATCCGTCTGGCCAGCGTGGTATAGTAGGCCAAAACCTCCTTTAAAAGGAGATGCTTATGTCCAGCAGTAGACTATTATCAGCTGTTGTTGTGTGTGATGTGAATTATCTTAGTACTGAGAATTATATAAAATACTAATTTATTGTCGATTAATGGGAGTGCTACTGATTTAAATATTAAATAATTTATTTCTTCACATTTGATTGGTTTCACGGGCAAATTGAAACAAAGTTATTTATGTAGTTAAGATCTATTAAGTTATTATTCCCTTGTAGTAAAACAATTATATGTTTATAAAAGTTGTGTGCCCATTTGCCACTATAACATTAAGATAAATTATGTATGTAACTTTCTGTTATGAACAATAACTTCTTACCAGAACAGGTTTGAATAAAAGTCTTGGAATCAAAGCAGGGGGCTAACTTTTTAGCAGGATAATCGTGCTTTTCATACTAAGGGTTTAATTCGTCGTAAGGAAAAAAACCCTTTTAACCGTAGAATCACTTTCTTGTCCGTATACTTGTCGGTCTGTATGTCTTTCAAGAATCCTTTTTCAGGAATGTGAAGGTATCAAGTTGATATTAACATCAAAAATATACATAAATCTATGCTATAAAAATCATACCTGTTAGTCATCCTAACCTAAATATATACCGCTGTTAGATTTTAGAGCTTTAGGGATTTTAAAGTAATAATGAACAAAAACCTATGAGGTACTTTCATTGGCCTAGGATCAGAGAACGAGACAGACAGACATTTTTAAAGTTGATTACAATAAGTTTTCAGTATTATAAGAACAAATCTGAAATGGTTAAATAAATGTTTGCACATGATACCTTTTTTGTTTGAATCACATAGATGTTTATATATGTATTTATAAGTCGTGTCTTGTCAATTTAAAAATGTCATTTGAGCTAGTGACACATCTCATTTATCTTAATTAACGAGTTGTATTGATGATAGAGGATAAAACGCAAAACCAGCTTGAGCAAACTTTTCTGTCACGTTTGACAAGTTTTTTACTTTAAAAGTTTAATTTGCCTAATAAATAATGTACCTACATTCAGTTTTGCAAAAATAAATTAATTCTTTACGAATGTGAGTTATAAAATCTTTATTTATTAGATAGCATTTGCTATCTGCAATCTTTTACGTGGTATGTTTTCTTATTATGATTTTAATGAATAAAACATTTAAAATTACACTTTACTCAAGTGACTGAACTGTTTACGTCTAGTTTATGTTTTCCTCTTAAAGATAAGAACAAAAATTTCACGAAGATATGGCACAGGTAGTATTGAACCCGGAATATTAAATTCAAGTTTTGTCTCGGTAATCGATGTCCATGAATAATGAACTTTTAATTTTGTAGGTAACTTCCCGGCTTTTTAATATTCTCTTGCTGTCGTCACTAACAATGTACACAATCCTTTGTTTAAGAGTGAAATTTCCTGTGAAATTCTTTGTACAGATTTTAAATCAATTGCAAAGGTAACACTCGTTATGACATTTGACTTTACGAATGGTGTATTGGTTTAACTACTGACTACGTTGTGTGGTGTGGGTCCGATCCCCACATGGGACGACACTTTGTGTAATCCACAAATTGTTGTTCTGAGTCTGAGTGTTCTTTGTGTTCTTTCATGTATGTTCTTAAAGTCCCCCGCGACACAGGATATATTCTTAATGTCCTATTAGTATTCCTAATGAATTGTCTTTAAAAAAAACATATTATTGGCAAACTCATTCTCGTCCAGAATCTTGCAAATTAAATTAAATTGAGATATAAAAATAGATTACAGAATCTTTCAGAACAATTCTTCGGAGCACTCTCCATGATATATACGATAGATAATGCAGAGTGAAGCCACATCTCTATATAACTACTCTACACGCCAAGGGATCGACCCAATCGCAGATGCTATCGACGATTCGAGTCGTTCTTCGGATGCGGTCCAGAGGGAGAAGCTGGTACTGAGGTGCCCCTGCAAAGAGATGAGAACAGTATTCCATATGCGGCCGGACTTACGCCTTATAGAGCTGAAGGCGGTGGGCCGGAGTGAAATACTGCCTCGATCTGTTTAGGACACCGAACTTGTTAATTCAGCGGTTTAATCCACCCGGATCCGGCTTCATTATAGAAACTGCAGATTCTTGCAACAGCCTGCCGGTCCACGTTCCATCATATCAGTACGTTACGCATTTATGCTGCATCTTTGGGAAATAATTTAACTTTTCAAGAACAAATACTTGTATCAATGAAAGACCACTTATTTTAATTACCTTAGGCAAAGATAAGAAGAACTATTTTTAGTTAATTAAATTTAAAATATTTCAAAGTTACCGTATATTAATCCTAGCTTTTATCCGCGACTTCGCTCGTGGGTACGTTGATTTGCGCGGTAAAAAGTAGCTATGCTACTCGCTGGTAATGTAGCTTTCCATTGGCAAAGAATTTTAAAAATCGGTTTAGTGGTTGAGACGTGAAAGCGTAAGAAACAATTATAATATAAGTGAAGAAGCATAGATTTTTTATTCTTATTTTTTTATGTGAGAGGGGGCAGACGAGGAGACGAGTCATCTGATGACCGCCCATGAACGTCTGCAAATCAGGAGTCACAAACGCGTTGCCGGCCTTTTAGGAAGGAGTACGCTCTATTCTTGAAGGTCGTATCGGTCCGGAAATACCGCAAACGATAACCCGTTACACAGATTGGTTGTGCGGGGCAAAAAGTGAATTTACTAATGTTCTTGAAATTGTTACACACTTGCGAGATTATGCAGATTTCTATTTGGATTGCTGGATTTAAGTCAATCCAGCAAAAATCCTGCAGCAGTGATACATTGCACTGCCCCTGACAACATGTATTATTTGCGGCATTTCCTGATGATCAATTGAACAATTAGAGTGCGAAAGCATAACGAATAAACAAAAGATTGGCATGAATTGAGAACCTTCTCCTTTTTTTGAAATTCAAATTTATTATCGTCATAGTATATTTTTAACTAAATTAAGATCATCATCATCAGCCTATTGCAGTCCACTGCTGGACATAGGCGTCTCCCATTGCACGCCACTTCGATCGATTTTCAGCTTCTCGCATCCAACTCCTGCCTGTTTTCTTTCGCAAATCATCACTCCACCTGGTCTTTGGGCGTCCTTCACTATATTTACCCAGACGCGGTCTTCACTTAAGAACTCGTGAATTAAGATCAAGCAACTACCTAAATTGCATTGTAACTACAATTTATTTTTTACCTCCTGAGAATGACAGATAGGGAATAGTCTCAATGATTGATTCCGTTTCTACACAATCCTATTCATGATGTTTTAAATAAATAAATAACACTTTTCACTTACATATTCCGAGGCATTTATTTCCTATTTGTCAAAAGCTTCATAAAAAAATACCAAATACTTTATATACACCAAAACAGAAGTACCAGGACCCATTTTGCATATTGGATTAAAGTCCGACTAATACTTTACATAGTGCAGTGTGCGATGATATTCAAGATAATGATTTTTTAGGGTAATTATAAATTTCTCCAGATTGCATTATAAAAACAATTCCCGGATCCCTGCTATTGTATATGTGCAGTATGACACACCGAGTGGTTTTAGTCGTTTCGGTTCCAAACAACTGCAAACCCCGGCGGGATGATGGCTTGAGGAGGTTTCTTTAGAAGAGGAGGACTTTAGAAGACGATTTTTCAACGATCATAGGCATATAAATCGGGTAAAACTCTGTCTTTCAGTAGTAAAGAATACTCAATATCACGTCAATACCACAAAGCAAGATAACCTTAAAGTGGTATTGAATATATTAAGAAGTACTTTCTTTATATTGTTTATGGTATAATGATGATTGTTTTACGATATGTGTAGGTAGTATAAAATGGAAGGGCTGTGCTGCGCAAGCGCATTCACAGTCCATCTCCGACATTGCGACCATTTTATATCACAATTATGAATATCTATTTAGTGTTTCTTTGCGTGGTGGTTTGTCGGTTAGCTGACGGCGGTCGAGGTGAGTATTAACATAGAACTGATGAACTATTAATTGTTTTATTGTTTCACTTCATGCGTATTGTATAAGAATTTATTTTTTGCTTTTAAAATACACTAAAACTTCTATAGAATACACTAAACTAATAAGCGTCATCTGTATAAAGCGGGATCAGATCCAAATATGCAAATATAAAAGACGGGTGAGCCTTGCAGTAGGTTATTGCAGGAGCTGGCTCGCTTCCCCAGTTTTTTGTGAGAAATTGCCATATTTTTTCATTAAATAACTTCGACAGTTTGCTATTAAACGATAATAAATTGTAACACATCAAAAACGCATCTCTCGTATCGTAATGTAACAATAATTACATTTATGCTAAAAATAACGCTTAAATCAGATATACAAGCTATTTTAAGACTCACTAGATACTCGTCGCGTAAGTTTCTGTATGTCAAGGAAACTAATAAAAACTGTAGTTCACAGTTGAAATAGCATTATAGTATCCTGTTGCATTATCAATAGCATTTAATAGTCCGCTGCTGGACATAGGTCTCTGCTTGGAAAGGAGGTTTTGGCTTACGTTACCACACTGGCAAAACGAGTTGGTATAGGGTTTGTTTCAAGTTATCCTTTTCTTAGCAGTGGTGTTCTCATACGTACTTTGCTCCCTTAGTCGGCTCTTAAGTACCTTATGGAATGAATAGGAGTAGTAACACTCCGTGCTCTTGGTCTGGCACTACACGGAATTGATTGTGAACGTATAGTAATTGTAAATTACGAATGGAATTTCGTAAAGAGATTTTTCTATCTTTGTCTGTTTCTACTTCTTTGTTTCCTTCCATAGAATTCACAGTGACTGTTAGGCAGCTGCGGTGAATCGTATGTGCTAAAATTCCCTCCATAGGGCTCATCATATGATTTGTTTTGTAGTATCCATAAATAATTTCATTATTCCCCTCCAGGATTCATCATCAGATCAGCACCAAGTCTCATTTTGGTCAAAATTTGTTTATGTAACTAAGTATTAGTTACAAATGAAGCTGAAATGGTATTAAAATAAAAATTGTTCAACTTTATTATGAAAACATACGTAGATTAGTATAAATGACAAGTACAAATACATTACTTCTTTTCTTTCAATATGAGTATCACGCATGATATATTTTGTAACAAGCTTTCAATGAATTCTTATTTTTTAATTTCACTCATAGTTAATGGCCGGCAATGCGTTTGACTCCTGAGTTGCAGACGTTCATAGACGGCGATGGTCACTTTCCATCAGGTGCCATCTGCCCCTTTGCTCGTCTGCCCCCACTGACATAAAAAAATATTTAGTAAATAGTTTTTAAAAGTTTGAGAGAGATTTCAAAAAACATCAAATAGTTGTGTAAATATTTGATTACTGTTGTTTACTTATGGAGTCATGTACTTATTTGCCACCTTTGTATTATTAAGAATTAGTTTGATATGTTTCATCATCATCATCATCAACAGCCTTTACTAGTCCACTGCTGGACATAGGCCTCTCCTTAGAAAGGAGGTTTTGGCCTACTATATATATTTATCGCTGGTGTAATTCCTACCTACATTAATGTATTTGATAATCTGTTTCACTGTCACTTTGATGACCTCGTTAATGTAATACTCGATTAAAATTTTCTTATAACACATTAATCGATAAAATATGAATTCATTCGATTACATTATTGAAATGTAACCACAGACAATTAAGTTTTCTTTAAATATTACTATATACATACATATTGTAGTTTAAGCAACAGGTAAGTTACACTTAGACACAAATGGTCATTGCAGAGTGACTGCACGGATGATGTAGTGGTTTAAGTGGTCGCCACGCCGAGTGTTGTGGGTTCAAACCCTACATGGGACGACACTTTGTGTGATCCACAAATTGTTGTTCTGAGTCTGGGTGTTCTTTGTGTCCGTTTCATGTATGTTTGTAAAATCCCCCCTGTAACAGGAATATATATTCCTAATGCGGGCGTTGTCTTTTTTAAAAGAAAAGTAAAAAATTGTTTGTCCCGCATGGGACTTGAACCCACGACTTCTGACTCACCAATTAGGATGATTAAAGCATTATTTTTGAGTTGAAAGTGTCCATAGGCGGTGGCAGCTACAACAACAAGCCAATCGTCATGGGTTCAATTCAAACCTAAGATAAATAATTAGCTGAAAAGCACGATCATTTGTGCTATGTTATGTACGGTAACGGGAAGAGATTGTCTAATTCTGAATAAGTATTATAACATAATATGAAAGACGAATGTTTAAAGAAAACTATAGGCTATTTAAAATCACGCTACGACCTTTAGGTATAGAGCAGGGACCTTGTACGCGAGATGCTGCAGGAAACAATTTTACTATACAATTTCATGTAACTTTCCAGCGCCTTTCATCACGCCTTGTCAGGAAAGCGACTTGGAGTGTCTTAAAAACTCAGCACAGAACGCAATCCCGATTCTAGCTGCCGGCATACCTGATTTCAAAATAGCAAGTATGGACCCCATGCACATGGAACAGGTGAAGACCAGCCAGGCTGGCCTCGAAATGGACTTTAGGAATACGTCGGTCACTGGATTGAAGAACTGCAAAGTTTTGAATTTAAAGTAAGTGAAAAGGGCAAGAAAAACTACATATGTCAACAATATTACAGACATACAACTTTTAAAACAGATTGAACGATAAACTTAAATTTTGCCGTTCCAAAAATACTTCTATATTTATCTACTATATATGTATATATACTTCTATATTTTTCTACTATATTTATCTGAATTAAAAGCAATTCTCCAAGCACAAATACATGTTTGTATATAGATAACAAAAATATACCATGGAACACAAAATATAATTGAGTTGCAGGTGAAAATTTGCGGCGTTACTTTGGTCTGTAATCATCAAGTGACTCGTCAGCTCGTTTGATCCAAAATCGAATTATCATATACACATACTTATTATATACATATATATATAATTATTTTTTGAAGATCGGTTGAAGCGTGAAAAAGTAACAAACAAACACACATTCACATTTATGATATTAAGTTAAAATTTATATTCAGAAAACGAAGTGAACAATAATGCGTCACATCTTATATCATAAAGTGTATATGAATGAATTTATGTCACAAGTTCAGCATTAATGTGACAACGGAATAGATTGCCTGTTGTTGATATGTCTTGAGCCTTTTTTTTTTTTTTTTTTTTTTCGTGCGGAAATCCCCTCGGATACCACCTGTCGGTGGCATGTCGGACTCGAACCGACTAAAACCGCACGCTGTCTCGTGCACTAATAGCCGGGGAACCAGGTATACCCTAGAAAGGAAGTACCTGGTGCTCCGACATAGCTCGTTTGATCCCCTTTTTTTTTTTTTTTTTTTTTTTTTTTTCCGTGCGGAAATCCCCTCGGATACCACCTGTCGGTGGCATGTCGGACACGAACCGACTAAAACCGCACGCCTTCGCCGGGTACTAATAGCCGGGGAACCAGGTATACCCTAGAAAGGAAGGCCCTGGTGCCCCGACATACCTCGGGTCATCTACAGACGAGTAGACGACCCCCGCCCCGTGTGGGAACCCCATGTTCCCTGTGCTCCCTGGAAGCGAGCGCGCTTCGCAACGCGCTCGCCGCCACCCCGGCCTGGTCATTTCCTCTCCGTTGTTCTAATGTTCGTTTTGTTTTTCAAATGTTTATTATTTGTTTACTACTACATTTGAAAGAATACAAATAATTATATTTAAAGATAAATATGATGTCAGCATCGTCATCACCAGGCTTTAATAGTCAACTTTTAGACAGGTCTCTCCTTAGAAATGAAGTTTTGGCCTACTATAACACGCTGGCCAGACGGGTTGGTATAGGGTTTGAGAAAGTTTTCCTTCTCTTTGCAGTGCTGTTGTCTTCTCATTTAGTGGGCTTTTACGACAGTCACGGGATGAATAGGGGTGGTGACACTTCATATTCTTAATCCGTCACCACACGCACCATAATATAAGTATGGAAGTATTTAATTTTTTTATGTTTGCTTATCTCGATTGAAGTATGTTTATCATCAAATAGTTCTTTCTAGTATTACTTGAAATGTCATTAAAAGACTTCGTAACATGACTGGTCAACATACTGGATGGCAAAAAACAATGTATCTGTAACAATTTTCAATAACCTTTTCTCTTGCATTTTTCTTGTCTTTAAAATATCTTATTGTAAACTATTTACCAATTCTTTGTGTGACTTCCAGGCGTGCAAGTTCGCGTACATATTTGGACTTAAAGTGTTCCGTGAACATGGTCGGCGACTATACCCTTGGAGGGAAGCTGCTTATAATGCCAATTGAAGGAAATGGCAAATACACTATAAAGATTCGTAAGTGATGAACAATTGTAATTTACTGGAATTAAGGGTTCTTGTACACGATGCAAGTAGCTTGCGTATGTTGAAGCACTTGCGCAGGTACAAACAGCTACTTGCAACATGTACAAGCACCCAGGTACTGAACTGTATCACATCTGAAACGAGCAAGACGCATAAATGTGTAACCCTTGAGAGCATGCGCATTATATGAACCAAACGTGCTAGTAACTCGTGCAATCTACTGACGCAAGTAACAAGAGTGTTTGTCCGCTCCAGCTACTTGCACCATGTAGAATCAACTTAAAGAAAACCCTTTAATCGTTCATCATCATCATCAACCGCCTTTAATATTTCACTGCTGGACATAGGCCTCTCCTCAGAAATGAGGTTTTGGCCTACTATACCACGCTGGCCAGACGGGTTGGTATAGGGTTTGTGTCAAGTTTTCCTTCTCTCTGCAGTTCCCGGATCCCTCCTATTACAGGCGCAGAGTGGCACACCGTGTGGTTTTAGTCGGTCCGAGTCCGACACACCACCCCGCCGCAAACCCCAGTGGGGTGACGGTCCGAGGGGATTTCCACACGTTAAACAAAAAAAAAAAAGGTTTGTATCAAGTTTTCCTTCGTTTCGTTCGTTTAAAGGCTGTTGATGTGATGACGTGATGTAAGTAGAAAATGATAGTATGGAAAGCGAATAGGCTCTCTTGTGTCTTGGTCTCTTTCTGTGATGATTGTAACTGTTTGTTGCAGGTGATATAATAGTCAAGATCATGTTCCAAGTTGGTGAAAAGACGGAGAAGGACCAACAATACTGGATTGTAAAAAATTGGAAACACTCGTCGGAGGTGCTGAAAGGCGTACATTTCCAGTTTAATAATCTGTTTAGCGGGAATAGACAACTTTGTAAGTGCAACAAATATTAGGTCTTTACCTATGAAATTGCCGTTTTGTATGCAATAAGTGAAAGTACTTATTTTTTCAAACTTTTTTATTTCTGTTATTCGAAGTAATCACCCATTCAATCAATCATGCAATGGTGAGTATGGCGGATGAGGGAGAGCTTCCAACCCCAGCTCTTGCAGCTTGGAGACTGTCTGTTGCGCAGTATGGGGTCGCGCGTTGTCGTGAATTAGCAGTGGGGACGACCGATTGACCAAAGCTGGTTTCTTGGTACTCACCAGACCTTGCACCTACCGACTATTACTTTTTCCAAAATTTAGACAACTTTTTAGTGGGTAAAAAATTCAATTCCCGAGAGGCAGTACAAAATGCCTTTGAAGAGTTTGTTGCCTCCCGTTCAGCTGATTTTTACAAGAAGGGCAACAATAAACTGTCAATGCGTTGGCAAAGATGCGTCGATTGCATGGGTGATTACTTCCAATAACAGAAATTAAAAAGTTTGAAAAAATAAGTACTTTCACTTATTGCATACAAAACGGCAATTTCATAGGTAAAGACCTATTGTATAGATCGGTGGCTTAAATATGGCCTATTGGTTTAAATTAGTGGCTAGTGATCCAGAGCATCAGGATTTGATTCCCACCCGGAACAAGTAAATATGTGCTGAAAACGATCATCAGTTCTGTGTCTGAGTGTAATTTCTTTATGATATGTATGTAGTTAGTAATACCTAGGTTGGGAGAAGACGGCCGCGTATGATGAGTATAAGAGACTAAATTTGAGCAGCCGTGTTAGACATCGTCCAGCTCAATTTACCGTCTTCCTTGGTGCTGTCTATAAATAATTACACACCCAAGGTGGGCTGACGTCAAACCGGCCATGAAAAAAACCCAAAAAGAAAACAGTGCCACTCCGGGAGGACCGACAGAAGTGAAAACTTATATACAGAGGTGTCGGTAAGGTAACGATAACGGTAACAGTGTCGCGAATTCAATTGTTTTTTCTCATCTCTAAAAATGCCCAACGTGCCTAAAGAAGTTTTCATTTCAACAGAGGTGTCCGTAACGGTAACAGTGTCGCGACTTCAATTGCTTTTTCCCATCTAAAAAAATGCCCATCGCGCCTAAAGAAGTTTTTACTTCAACAGCGGTGTCTGAAACGGCAACAGTGTAGCGAGTTCAATGGTTTTTTCCGAACTCAAAAGATGTGTTTTTTTGTTAACCCATAAAATACATTCTTTTGTTTGTTGTTCGAAAATGCCCAACGCGCCTAAAGCAGTTGCCCCTCCAAAAAAACTATTTACAGATTTCCATATTTTTACGGAATAGTGGGCAAACGAGTCACCTGATGGCAAAGACTACAGGCGCCCATGGACACCTGCAAGTTTAAATACACAACACAACAGCAAGGAGTTGGGTTGTTTGTTTAAATTGTCATTGTTTAGCTTAGCTTATATATTTTACTTACAGCCGATGCAGTCCATCAGTTTGCAAATGAGAATTGGCGCGACATCTTCCAGGAGGTGGCACCGCCGATAGTGAAGGCTATTGTCGCTCAGATCCTGGAGGAGACCATCAAACTGTTTGACAGCGTCCCTATTAGTGAACTTGTTGTAGAATAGTATACTCGATTGTTTTATTGTTATTATGAATTACCGCACAAAGATATTACACGTAGTTGTGTATTTTGATGTTTTATTTTATAGGTTGTGCATCCGTGTGGTGACGGATTAAGAATATGTAATGTCACCGCCCCTATTCATCCCGTGGGTGTCGTAAGACTTAGGGAACAAACTAGGCAGGATAATAGCACTGCAAAGAGAAGGAAAACTTGAAACAAACCCTATAGCAACCCGTCTGGCCAGCGTGGTCAATGGCCAAACCCTCCTTTCTAAGGAGAGGCCTATGTCCAGCAGTGGACTGTTATAGGCTGTTGATGATTTATAGGTTGGTATGGTGATTTAAGCTATTCTTACGTTTCTTTCAACCGAACCGTTGATTCTCTGGGGGGGGGGGAGGGGTTTACTTGTGACTCTTGAGTCGTAGGAGTCCATGAGCGACGGTAGTCACTTAACAATATTTCACCCGTCAAAACAATAATAACAAAGAGCACTTAGAAAACTTAGTAGCAATCGTGGTTCATTTTTTGAAGAGTTACGTTGTCTGTTTCCGAAAGTCATCATGAGATCTATATTGAATTTGAATGGGACCATTTCGTAATAAACCCCTTTCGAACAAAATAATAATTTTGCAAATCCGTCTAAATATGACTGATACGAAATATACGAAAATAGATGACAGCCCTAACATACATAAAAAAAAACTGAATTGATAACCTTCTCCTTTTTTAGGTCGGTTAAAAAAGCATATTTGTCACTCTTAAGCATCATAATCATCATCAGCCTATCGCAGTCCACTGCTGGACATAGGCCTCTCCCATTGCACGCCACTTAGATCGATTTTGGGCTTCTCGCATCCAGTTCCTGCCAGCCATCTTGTTGCCAGTCACTCCATCTGGCCTGTCGGCGTCCTACACTAAGTTTGCCGAGACGCGGTCTCCACTCTACGGTTTTAAGCATAGATATTCAGCAACACTACACGCATGTCAACATTGATTAGGTACTTTTTAAAAATCTATTAAAAACGTAGACGCGTCGAGAATTATATCACAGAAATACTTTTATTTCTGTGATGTAATGTAATGATGTTTCAACGGTCTTTGGATTGATTTTAATAATGAATATCTATGCTTATGCTTAACCGACTTCAAAAAGGAGAAGGTCTATCAATGTAGATGTTTAATTTTTTTTGATGTATGTTCGTGCATAACTCCGTCATATTTAGACGGATTTGCAAAAAAAAATGTTGATGATGATGGTGATGACACATGAATATAAATGATCTTAATTATTTTTTTTCTTTTTTTTCTTTTTTAAAAAGACAACCCCCGCATTAGGAATAAATCCTGTGTCGCGGGGGACTTTACAAACATACATGAAACGGACACAAAGTACACCCAGACTCAGAACAACAATTTGTGGATCACACAAAGTGTCGTCCCATGTGGGGTTTGAACCCACAACACTCGGCGTAGTAGGAAGCGGCGTGGCGACCGCTTAAACCACTACGCCATCCGTGCAGTCGCAGTCGTCAATTAATAATATCTAAATTGACAGTTTCATGATAACTTGTAAGTCGCTTACATCATTCTAACGATGACGCTGCACCACATGTCTATGTTTTATTAACCTGCATTTAACATAATCATAATTAAACAATGTTCTATGTCAGTGCACACGTGCATCTAAATGATTATGTAACATACGCATTGTGAGAAAAAAATGAATCTTGGCTGGTTTATTATTATCACTGTGATTATACGTGGTCGTAAATGATTTTCTGGGTAATTTGAAAGAATCGCGTGATGAATCACTTGATGGTAAGTGTTAAATGAATGCTGTAAAAAAAAAAATGCTAATGCTAACAAAACTATAAAATAATTAAATAACAAAACTATTAAAGCGCGAAATTGTTCTTAAATAAAAACAAGAATACCTATGTCTATTTATTTATCTTTGAAGACAATTCGTTTTACGCATATTTAAGAGAAAAACACGTGCAAAGAATCATGTATTACTGTATGTATTGTAAAACTATATGTGAGAAAAGATTGCATTTGTAAGGAAAACCTTCCAATAACAGTTAAACTTATATTGGAAATGTTTCGTTAAGAAATATTCAAATTACGAATTTAACCACCTGGATCTCTAAATGTACAATAAAGAAGATACTCCAACTGCCCGCATCCAACGAAGAGCGACTCGAATCGTCGATAGCCCAAACATCTCCGATCGGCTCGATCCCTTGGCGTTACGTAGCATATATTATGGAGAGTGCTCCGAGGAATTGTTCTGACTAATACCAGCCGCAAATTTCCGCCATCGTTCCACACGGCAAAATTTTCATCCTTATCACCTGCATAGTTGGCGCTCCACTACTGTGCGCGTGAGACACTATTTGCCCCGCACAACTAATCTGTGGAACGGGTTATCGTCTGCGGTATTTCCGGACCGATACGACCTTCAAACCTTTAAGAAAAGAATGTACTCCTTCCTAAGAGGCCGGCAACGCGATTGTGGCTTCTGAGTTGCAGACGTGCATGGGCGGCGATGGTCGCTTTCCATCAGGCGACCCGTCTGCTCGTCTGCCCCCGCTGACATAAAAAAAAAGAAAAAAAAACAACCAGTTCGACCCTGACCAATTAGAACTTAGTCTCTAATCCCGTATAAATAAGCAATATCCCTTAACTACCAATACCTTTGCATTTTATAATTTTTTCTTTTAATATTGCACTGCACGGATGTCGTAGTGGTTTAAGTGATCACTTCCGTGCTTCCTATTGCGCTAAGTGTTGTGGGTGCGATCCCCACACTGGACATTACTTTTTGTGATCCACAAATTGTTGTCCTGAGTCTGGGTGTTATTTGTGTCTCTTTCATGTACATACGTATGTAAAGTCTCCAATCAGGATCAAAGTCCTAGTGCAGATATTTTCCTTAAAAAATGATTCAATCTCTATTTTGCCCATTTAATGTCTAAAGTGTAAGTGTATAAGTAAGTAAAAATTCGTGAATGTGTGGAGCCGAACCCAGCGCGCAAGCTTTACAGATCAGACAGATCTGATAATTTATATTGTCTTGCTATCGTGATAGCATTAAAGCACTTACACATGACCGCAGAAAACACCACAGAATAGTGTCGGCAATTATGCCTGAAGCACTACCAAATTACTGTAACAGCGGTATAAATGCCGGACTCGAGATATAGCAGACTCACAGGCTGCACTTATAAAGTGGTTGTCAGTATGCTTTCAATTATATGATTTTCACTTGATCATAACAGCGTGCAAACCTGGGAGACGATACATTATATCTGATAGACAACTACCTATGTTCCCCTCGATGTCAAGGTCATCTCTGAGTTCCTTGGTGATCCAGTGACCCACATACTTAAACTTAGCGACCTTGTATATTGTAGTGCCGTAGTATAGTCTTGAACACATCAGTTCGTTATATTTGTCAGAGTTTTTAATTTAATGGCAGGGAATCAGGTAAAAGCAGGGCCGGAGGGCCTTATATAAGGTGGGCGAGGACATCATGCAGGTTGCCAGAGAACTCTGGTGGAATTACGTCAAAGATAGAAGTGCTGGGGGAATTTTGGAGGAGTAGAGGTTCACGTAGATTAAACAATAAATATTATGTTGTTATTCAGCTATGGAACTATTATAAATAAATAAATAAATAATAAATAAATTATCAACATGTACTACCAATATTAACTGATATAAATATGTCTTATTATTATTTTGCGTACATATCTCTCGTGATACAAAGTAGATAGCCTAGCTACTGGCAAAAGTTAGTAATAAAAAACATTGGCAGTCCGGGAGTGCCGCGAAAGTTTTTTTTTTATTATAACAGGTTTGTTATTGATTTTTTCGATTCGAAAAGTAAAGACATGAATATATAAGGAAGCAAATGAACAAACAAAGAAACTCACATCCGAATTTATAATTCGGACTCCCATGTTTGTGAAGTAGTTAGTGATTAATATTGCCAGAAGCCAGAGATTCTGGTTTCGATACCATTCCAGGACAAATCACTTGCGAAGACCACGATCATTTGTTCTAAATCTAAGTGTAATTCATCTATGATATGTAAATGTATGTGTTTATTGTGTGATGAGCACAGTCATTTGTTCTGTGCCTGGGTGTACTTTATCTATAATATACACGGTATAAAGAACGTCGTAACGAATACTGAAATGGTGTATTCAGACCATCATTCTGAGTCGAAAATCATTGGAATTTTCTGCCGGAAAATTAAACTTTTTTTGCAATCAGCTGTCAAAGGTTAAGGTCATCCCCCGTAATAACTACATGTGTATTCCGTGCAAACAGTCTACGCACACTAACATAAAATGGCGGCCGGAGGGGATGCCCCGCGCGCTTAGGCTGTTTGATTAATTACAGTGCAGTTTGGTGGTATTTATTAAATTGTTTTCGGTAATGATCTGTCTACTCATTGTGATATCATTTGTCATCATTTTTAACCACAACAATAGAAAAAAAAAATGAATTGTCCGGCAGACAATTTCAATAATTTTCGACTCAGAATCATAGTCTGAATACACCATTTCAGTATTCTGTACGATGTCCCTTACACCTTGTATATGAATGTATTTAGAAAAATATAAGTATGTTTATCAGCAGTCTGGTTACCATAGTACAGGCTCTGCCGAGTTTGGGATCAGACGGCCGTGTGTGAAATGTGTGAAAATATTATTATTATTATACATAACTATGTATTTCTGTAGCCTGGTCACCACAGTACAGGCTCTACCTATTTAGGTATCAAACGACCTTGTACGACACGTGTCACGAATTAAGGTGTTGTTATCATAGATTAAATACGATATATAAAAAGCTAGGCAATTTTATGAGAATTTTAAAGAAAAATATTAAAGGTTTCTCAGCAATTATATTTATTTTTAAATATAAACTGATGTCAGAACATCTAATCGTTGTACAAAAAACGAAATGAACAATTTTGTTCTACGATCG